ACAAAGACTCTGCTAGCACACAGCGAGGCAAAGGGCACAACAACCCTAAGGGCAGAAAAAAAGGAAAGCTCTCCAAGATTTGCTTTTAGTGGTGGAGGGTCCCCCGTTACATCCACCATTAAGCATGCAGTCCAATTCCCAACCTTCCCCCTACTGCATAAAAAAAATAAAAAGCTGGCAGTGCATAGCCTCCCAGCTGTTCAGTTAAAAGGAACCGGGACCCCCGGTCCCGGAACCCCGGCACCGTATAGGAAATGCATATTCCACTTTTTTTTTTTTTTCAAACCGGTGCGGAGGAGACGCGAGACTCCTCCATCGGGATTGTTTTGGTATCTTCGTCTCATGTAGAGGGCCTGTTGTACGGATGCATTTATATGCAGCCCCTGCCTCACTCGATCTACGATGTGTTTCGTTGAAATACTTTTGACGCCACCGAGCCATGAGATCACTCACGGGAGATCACTCGGGTATCATAGAATTGTTCACAAAATAGTCTTTCCTGGAATCCTCTTTTGGCATCTTGGATTACTCGCTGGAGAAATAAAGAACACGCTATAGGGAAACCCTGCACCTTTTTTTTTAATCCTCCAATCCTTGCCCACTCCTCTACCATGAGAGAGCTCAAGCATCCCCAGGAGCCCGGGCCCGACTCTAACCATATCACGCACGCTTCCTGGGAATATCCTTTATCATGGTATGATAGGTGAGATGGAAAAGACTCTATCCGGGTGCGATGTTGGGTGTGCAAGGTGTTTGTACCCGGACCTGATACCATAGCTCATCTCCCATCACCATCCACAGTATGCTCTCTATCGCTACGGGCGAACAGGAGACGTGGGATTATCAGACCAACGACACACTATATACCATCCACAGTTCAGATAGATAGTGCATTCGCTGTTCCTTCCTTCCCTTCCGGGAATGAAACCAATTTCCGATCCGTAGTGCTGCTAGATCATCGTACTATCACTGTAGAGTACAGTACGGCATCTCAGAAGTGGGGAACCGAGTAGAGTGTGGTGGGAAAAAAAAGTTCCCAAACTCAGGAAATATATGTATTCATTACAAGTAAGTGGTATTATATGAATAATATCATAATCTTGATAACAACGTCATGAAGGACGAGGACACAGTCAGATTTTGGAAATGGAGTCTTCATCCGGTGGCGTTTGTATAGTCTCTTGCGATAGGGTAAGTGCTCGAATGGATGATATTTTAAGTGTGCTGGGATGTTGGAATTCCCTCTCTCGGCTAGACTCACTTGAGACAAAAGTACTCGTACAGTAAGATACAACGCTTAGCTTTTTACTAGGGGAGGTAGCTACAATGCCCAAGCATATTTACCATCTATTGAGTTTCTTAACTAGATATCAAAGCGATGCGCTACTGCAAACAGAGCCCCCATAAGGATGCAATACCCCAGTCAAGTAAATATGAGCACTGAGAGGAACACACAAGTGTAAACCCAATCCAATAGAAAGAAAGCGAATACCCTACCACGCCGGCATGAGTAGTGACGTGCTGCTGAAGCGCCAGTCCCAACACGTTACCCACAATCAACACATAAACATAACAGTACGATACTATACTATACTAAACAGTGAACTCAAGGATTGCGAGGAAGAACCCTTAATAAAGTAAAAAGCGGAGAATCGGCTACGATGATTTAAATGTCTATATCGAAAGCTGTGACGACTTGGCAAGTGCAATGATACAGTGCGTCGTACCCAAGTTGGCTTATTGAGAGGTAAAGTAAATTCGTAGGGGTTGCGTCCCTTAAATGCGATAGTCCACCCATTGCTTCCTGGGCGTTCCCGGCAGTCCAAGTAAGAGGTGTTCTCCCCATGCTACCTGCAGCCGGTACTCACTTGGCTTGGATTAACATCTGCTCACTAGCCAGACATCCTTTGGCTTAGCCCGCAGTTTACCATATTAAGCTGTGGTGCCGCAAGTTTGTGGATCCCAGAATACCAGCACGGGGAACAATGTAACCCACCATTCACTAGAGCTGCATGATCCAGGATTGAGCAGAATGTGTCCTGCATCCAATGTGAAATGATTCGCTGCTATCGTACATGTATTGGAAGTTCGCCCGGAAGCCCGGATGTAAGAGATCCCCCAGATGCCGTGAGTTCGCATTATGCGTGGGCCCCAGTACCGGCAGGGGGCGGGAATGAGAAAAGGTGTGCTAGCAGACAAACCGCAAGGGCTGATGAAAGTTTTTTTAGGTATTGGAAACTTAAAAGGGTAAGGCCACTCTCAGCAATCGCGGCACAATGGTTTCAAAGACATTAGGATTGGCGCAAAGATATTCTTTCAACTCTGCATGCATAAGACGGACTATAACCTAAGGCCTCACGATCGACCGTAACTATTCAAGTGCCCAAACCCACCGATCCAACCCCCACCGTGAGAGCACGGTAGAACTCATCGACAAGCAAGGGCCACTCGCTATTTAACAGAGCTTTTCTCTTCTCTCCCCGATAGTAACCCCTCCCAACATTAAGTCGATATGTAAGGCTACAGGTGGAAAGCTAGGAGATTGTTGGTCCGTCAGTCAGCAGTAGGGGAAAGATACAATCCCCACACCTGAATGCTCTTCAGATAATTTGTCTACAATTTCCGATCGTAACCCACGTTCCACCACATCCGACTCGGGTCGGCATCCAGTCCACCGTGTAGAGACATTCGGAGATCGTCTTGTACCAGCTGTATCCTAGCAGTCCTCGCGGACTTCATCGGTGCTTGTCCAATTCAGACCGGATATAAGGTCAGCATGCAAGGAAGGGGCGAAAGTTGGGTGGTTTCTCAATGATTCGTCTCAAGCACTGAAGGAGATGGCACGACCCTCCACCAGAAACTCCCTCAACACATCAATACACCTTGACGCCCCTTGCAAGGCTCTGGAGAAGACATCCACCAGAACGCCCTTCATCTTCCATCGCTAGCGACAACGGGTTTAAGATGGATAGCGTCGGTTTCTGTGCCCAAAATGTTGATGCTGTTGAAATCGCCATTAGGATATTGACTGGGATTCTATTCCACGTCTCGTGTAGAAACAAATTGGATGATATTGTTTGAATTATTCCAGCGCTGGCCGGAGTCGGAAGAGCAGGGCTTCCCTAGGGTCGTAGTGCTTGTTAGGTGGGGGTGGAGAAATCAATGTGATGACAGCTTGGAGCCATTGATTGGGTGCTACCGTACAGTACAGTACCAGTATAAATTTTAAGGCCCCAACAGCATGGCAACACACCCTCCCGAGATCTCCCTGCCGCATGTTAACAAGCAGCCCCCACCCATTACCTAGACAGCCCCGCTCGAGGACCACTAATTTGTAAAAACTCCCATCATGTCATTTCTAAACCTACCAAATGAAACAATTCTCCAAATATGTGGGGAAATAGAGGGGCATTTACCCGACCTCAATTCCCTCCTCCAGAGAAACATCCTTCCAGTAAACCTTAGTCTATCGTCCCAACCCTCCTAGACATCCTATGCCGTCTCTGTTCCCGCAAGTATGATACGGCAGAAGGACACTGTGTTACTCGGTGGAACGCGCAGACAAGCCAATGGTGCGGAGCCCACCGGCCAGGGGCTTGGTAGGCATCACGAGTTACAAGCTCGTCCACGGCGAAACCTCACACCTGAGCCCCCACATGCTATGCGCACTCTTGGAGTGTAGCGTCAATGCGGAGCGCATGGACAGTCGGGCTGGGGGGCCACATCGCCGGCCTCCACGGGGACGTGGCAGCGATGCGGACACTCCCAGAATTCGGCCACGTTCAGCTGAACCCGTTGGATAGGTCGAGCAACATGCCATTGCCCCCAGCGGCGAGCGGGCCATTTAGCCGCCTCCGAGTTCCTCCTCAGCCAGGATGAAATCCAGATAACCTGCGTAAACCCGGTCTTGTATCCCCCCCTTCTAGCATGCCGTCGCAGGCAGACAAGAGGCTGTCGTGAGACTCCTCTCTCTACTCTCGCTCCAGACCAATCGCTGGTGCTTCGCCGAAGCGCAACCACGGCCACCGCAATGCCCGGCGGCGCCTAGCGACCACACTGCCGTCGTAAAGTTCCTGCTCGAGGGGGAAAGGGTGGAATATGTCTCTACCCACCCCCGCTGGCTAGATTGGCCTTGTGCCTCGCCATTACATGCTACGGCGGGCGCGGATCATGCCGAGACCGTGTGTGATACCAGCGAGTAAGAACGTCGAAGTTAACTTCTACCCGCAAAATCACTTGTGCGATACTCGTTGCATATATGGCCATTGCAATAGGGAATGAGGCGGTGGTGCTGCTATTGCTAGGGGATGGGAGAGCGGATATTGATCGGCCGAATAGGCAGGTGATAAGTGCTCTAGAGGCTACAGCGGAGGTCAGCCACAAGGTATGATATCGTGCAGATGTTACGCTCGAGGAATGGTAGGAGGGCAGGTGTTATTATAGCACTCCTGATGTTTTGGGCGATAGAGGGCGCCGGGCGCCAATGTGACTTGTTGGACAGCCGGGTATTAATTCAATTATTTTACCCAGGATACCTTTGCTAGGGGGCTCATCGAGACCATTGTCACATCACCCAACCGCCCATTCATCCAAATCCCAACAACGCCCACTACGAAGATAACAATAACTCAAAGACTACTCACTTGCAAGACCGACTTATTCCACAGTAATTAATAGTGCGACAGCAAAAAAAAAAGAAAAATGCTCAGATCGAGAGCGCGTTCAGGGACAACCCAACTCAGACCAGGTTACCTCCTTGCGTTTCTTCACCATAACACCATCCACGTTCACACATTCTCGGAGATGTAGGATTACGCTGTTGGACATAATATCCCCATTGGTAAAACCCCAAGAACTTCTTTATCATACTCATTGCTCCATACCCCGTGTCTTGGCCTCCCTGTTAGAAGGGGGGAAAGAAGAGAAGTTTGGTGTTGAATGTGTGGACGGATGGGTGGAGGTTCGTAAGAACCCAGACACCCCGCATATCATGACCCAGTATCAGACGGCATAAGGTTATTCATTACACTATACAAATACATATGCTAAGAAAAGCAAGGCACCCCGTTCCATCTACCACCCGACCTCTAACTTGCTGTACTCCCAACTCCACAGGTCAGAGAAAGCGTAAACGAGTGATGCCTCATGTCTACAGATTTCTCCACGGGCACTCTGGTGCCAACGAGTGTCATCATTTTTTGTTCTTGTTCTTTCCAATGTAAGCCTTTTTGTATTCCCATTTAACCAACCCAGGATGATAAGGGAGAAGCACGAGAAAAAAAAGAAGTGTAATATTCTGATTTAAAGGTGCTTGCTCCCGCCGCAAGCCACCGCACCAACCAAAGAAAAGCCCCCAGTTGGCCTAACCTTCCAACTTAGGCGAGAGCAGACGCGCCGCCTCCCCCGCCAAAAATCGCCATGATGCCGAAAACACTGTAGAAAAGTCCCAATGGGTATGCGACGAGGAGGCGCATATCTCTTACTCGGAGGACTGCGACGAACATATTGCTAGCTGAATAGGTGCACCACCCGATTGCGGCGGCGCTGAGAATGTAGCCCACGAAGCCGTTCATATTGTAACCAATCCCTAGCGCCGACGTGAAGACGAGGGGGAGGAGGCAGTAACCTAGTACTGAAGCGGAGCGGATGTAGTTCAAACTGGTTGTGGGCGGCGACATTAAATTTAGGATGAGATGAAGCGAGATGCTACCCAGTAGGGCGACACCGTAAATGTACCCGAAGTGGACTTTCCCGGACTATTCATGCACTAGAAGTAAGCTTCCATCCCATCTAAGCACAACCGGGGGTAGGAGGTATAAGCACTAGTAACAAGAAAGCACCGAAAAGCAAGTAGAATAATATCGGCCCTGCGACATCACTATCGTCCATCATGTGTTGGTCTACGCTAGCCATAGGGTTCAACACCATTAATGTCTGATCGCAGTCAGTAAACACTCGCGGAATCCCCCCTCATCGAGCGGAGCGGCAAGAACCTTCATCTTGATGTGCCCAAAGTTCACCCCAAGCTCCTCCAGTAGCGGAGGCTCATCGTCATACCCGCTCGTGCCAAAGGCCGCCAACCACCCCTTTGTCAACCCATGTTCCCGCGAGCCGCTACCGACTGCGCCGCCGCCGGGTTGAATGCTGCCCATGCCGCCGAATCCATAGCCTGGGGGGGATTGTGTCTGGCTTGAATATGACGATGGGTAGAACTGGAGATTGTTAGGAGTACCGCCGCCATAGTGAGGCTGTTGTGGGGGCGGGGACTGGAAGAAGTTTGCCATGGTTGGGATTTCAACGGACCGGAAATGTATATCCTTGACGCGCGAGGTGATGGGCACGGGTAGAATGGTGAGTTGTATCGTTGGTGGTAGCTGAGTGGGGGAAGAAAATGCGTGAACGATCAAACATAAATGGACTGCAAAAGACACGACGACATCTCCGGAGTTGGAATAAGGTGTGAGGCTCCGCACGGTAAGCTGTCCCTGTTGTCTTGGCATCTCGCCCCGTTTCCCAGCTCAAGGTCCCTAGCCTCTTTCTATTCTCTCGCGTCTTCCCGCGGCATCTGCCAGTAAACCAACGAGCAAGCAAGCATAACAATGGAGGACCCAAGAGGTAGAAAAAATCCACAAAACCTGAAGGGCTAATTGAAAATTGATAAACTAACAAATTCACAGAAATAGCATGGCAGAACCGTCTGGACTACCACTCACGCCTGAGTGCGGTCCGTATCGCATTTAAGGCTTCATACGCCCAAGCAATCCCAACGGTCAAGCGAGAGCAGTACTACAAAGCAAAGTTACCAGGGCTAGCCAAATGGGTTGCGAGAAAATGCGCCCTTGAACGGCCAAGATCAAACGACGAGGCAGCCGGAGGTTCAACACTTGAAGCGATCGAGGTCGACGGGCAAGAGCAAGTTGTTGCTCCTGGCCAGGAAGAGCATGCACCAGTGTATGAGCAGGAGGAGCCGATTGTTCTCTCGGATGGCGAGGAAGCCATTCCAGCTATTGAAGAGAAGCTACAGTCCACAAAACAAGTCTCCGAAACGAAAGCCCTGACCAGTCCGGAAGCTCCAGTACCGGCGGCCAAGTCCACCGCACCCCCGAAGCGCAACAAACGCCTACGCACAGAGATAGAGAGACTACTAGACACCAACTGGGGAGGAAACTCCACTGCCATTATCGGATCCTTGAACAATAACGGCACCGGCAACCCGTCGCGAGATTTCCTCTCCCCGACCTTTACCGCCGGAGGAATTGACCTTGCCCCCACCGCCAAACGAACTCGCTCTTCACGGAACAGTCTTCATGGCTCGGCTCAGTCACCAAACTCAACCCAAAAATCCGTTGAAAATCCCCTAGCAAAAGCCACGAAGACCACCTCTAGGAAATCGTTACCAACCCCTCTTCAGCCGCCACCGCTCTCCGACAAATCCTTCGAACCAAACTCCAACGCCACCTCATCTGAAGCTCGAAACGTGGTCGCACTATACGTCTCCAAACCCTCCCGTCCCACCACCAACGCCCAGCAAAAGCAAAAACCACCCCGCACTTCTAAGCCGAAGTCTAGGTCCAAACCCCCTACCCCGGCCTCGGAGAACCCAGGAACGCAAACATACCTGCCAACAGATCACTCTGCTATCCCCTTCCAAATCAAGGTGATATTCAATCGCTACCCAACTCTATATCGCCTCCCCAGGCGTCAGAAGCGCCTAGATTCCCCAAAGTTGGATATCCATTCCTTGATTTATAGATGCAGAAGGGCTGTTAGGAGTAGTCTTGCTGTTGCAGGGAAGAAGGGGGAAGGCGAAGGTGAAGGAAAGGGTGAGGCTACGGAGAATAGGGTAGTTGGTGGAGAGAAAATCGTGTTTTTGCGTAGGAATGCTGTGAGGGGAAGGAACGTTTGGGGTGGGAAATAGAGTTTGTTCCGATGATTTCTTTTTTGTTAGAGAGGGATAGACGTCCGATAGCATCCCCCCCCCCTTTTCTTTTTTTCTGGCTCTTGCTTTTCTCCTATTTTTCCTATTTTTACTCTCTTGCACTGGTGTTTGGGTCATGGGTTGGGTTGGGCTGGCTGGACCGGTGGGTGTAATACATTACTGCACTGTACTGCACGTACGTTCAACAAGATGTGTGGTAGGAGCATGGGGGACTGCTACTACCATTTGTGCTATACTTTCTCACAACCAATCCGTGATATCTTATGTTCATGCCATGTCATGCACCCACCCTTCCTTCCTTCCTTCTGGAACTTCTATCCCTTCCCCCCTCACCGCTATGCTATAAAACAGGGTACCGGTAGTGTAGCAGTATATTCGGGACCCCATATCATACTCGGACGGGAATTACTTACCCACTCCAGAACCCGGCAGGACGAACTCTGCCCATGATCACATCACCATATTACAGGACCGCCCTGCATTTCCCACAGAGTATCATACAGACCTCGATAAGGAACATGCCCACAAGCCCACGACCGAACCCCCGGTACCCATTAGGCTTCACTTCACTTCACTTCACTTCAACCTCAACAGAAACCAACCAACCAACCAATCCCCTCCCCGCTAAGTTCCTTCCTTCCTTCATTCCTACCTACCTACCTACCTACCACCACCCAAACACCACTGACCAGAATTATAATACCATACCAACATCACCCCACGTCATCCCATCCCATCCCATCCATACAATACAATTTCCCACCCCCCAGCCCAACCTCACATACATACATACATACATACAAGTAGAAATTAATACCTCACCCACTAACATCCCCTATCCCCATACTTCTAAGCCCTACCTTGTGCTACCCACCCACCCCCTACCAAGGTAGTTAACCAGGTTACAAAAGAAACGCATCGTGTAACTTGTTAAAGGCACGGACGAACGAGGTCATGTGCGTGCGTGCGTGCGTGCGTGCGGTGCGTTCTCGGCGCATTGAGCGTGATATTGTATCGTAGGTTAGGCTACGGATGGGGTAATCCACCTTTGCAGGAAGGCAGAGCGCGGTGGGGGGGTTATGTGGGTTCCCGTCTGGAGGCGGGTTGTACGAGGATCTGATAGTATTATGATATATGCTATGGAGGGTAGAGGAAGGGAGGTATGGCGCGTTGGTTCGTCATTTCTAGCTTTTTTGTTTTTGTTTCTGTTTTTTGTTTTTTTGTGGAAAAGAAAAAAAAAAAGAGTTGTGATTACCATAAAATTGGACAAAGACAAGGAGTGAGGATGAAGATATTGGCGTCACATTTGAACTTGAAGGGATAGACTAATATAAACTGCACCTCTATGTTCGTAATTCGTAACGGTTGAAACTCTAAACTTGCAATGCTACTACTATCTAGCCTCTTTCCCATTCGTACCATTCCATAAACCTCTGGCGCAAGCCGAAAGGAGGTACGACACTACCCAGAAACAAGAAGAACCCTAGAACACCCTACCTCCGCCTTTGCACCCCCGTCGCAATAATGGTGATGGTGGTGGTGGTAATGTCTGTCACGGCCCTCCCCCCTCTCCCTATCTCTAGGTCTGATCGAACTATCACAACTCCTCACAGACCTCTGATTTTCAAAGTACCCCTCGTTGTCCTCAGACTTTGTCTTATGCTTCCGGTGGTGATGATGGCGGCGGCGGCTATGGTGGTGTGTTTTGGTGACTATCTGCAAGTGTAGGGATGAGGGGGAGGAGAGGTCTGGTGGTAGTAGGGCTCCGGGAGCTCGTGCTTTCTGCGGGGAGGGGGAGGGTGGAAGTGATATTGAGGGGGCAGAGATGGATGGCGGTGAAGGGGGTGTTGGGGTTGCAGTCCTGGGAGGAGTTGGAGGAGGAGGAACAGGTGGGGAAGTAGAGGCAGAGGCAGATCTGTTTGATAGCGAATGCCTACCCTTTCCACCAACTATCAACGGCCCCAGTTTGTCCTTTATCTTCCTATGATTTATCCTGCCATGCCTCTTATCCTCCTCCTCCTCCTCCTCCTCCCCCTCCTCCTCTTCTTCCTCCACCCCATTCCCATCACCATCACATATCCTCTTCCTAACAGCGTTCACAATATTCTCTGTCTTCTCCTGCTCCCTGAGTGCGCGCTTGATGGGCTTACACCCCAAGAGCCCCTTGTTAATCTTCCTGAGAGCCTTAGTAGCCTTCTCCATTTCGCGCAGCACCTTCCTCCTGTCTGGGTCATCGTGCGTGAGCTTTCCCAGCACTGGGGCTAGTCTGCTCAGGCTGCCCTGTAGGGTGGACCAGGAGTCTATGAAGTTCCCGCGCAGTTCCTCGCGCACGTGGTGGTGGTTGTACTGTGGCTTCCGCAGGTGGCGGAAGGCGGATTCGAGCGGGGGGGCAATTAGTGGGCCAACAAGGCCGGCTACACCTAACACTATTTCTGCTCCAGACATTCTCTTTTCTCCTTTGCTTGGAAAGGTGTTTTTGGCGAGCGAACGGTGGGTCGTTTTCCCCCCCTTCTTTCGGAGACGGGAACTCTTAGTTGTAAGTTGGTGCGTCCGGAAAAAATTGAAAAATTAAAAGTGTGGGGAAGAAATATGGGCGAGAGTGAGTGACTGAAAAGCTGCAAAAAGTCGGGGTCTTTATTGATTGACCGACCGACTCAATGAATGAATGAATTGGTGAAATGTCTTAGATATCCCCGAGCTCCATATACAAATGCGGACTTCCCGGGCTATATATTCATTCACCCACCCCTACATATAGCGTCGCCCGATAGACCACTATCCGTCCCATGCAGACTAGGAGAAACCTCCCACGGGTGCTAGCCTACCGTATCTTTTCGCCGAACGGAAGGGATATGGTAGGTATAATGGTATCGTTTCGAATACGAAAACGGGTCTTCTGGAAGGTAGCCGCCGGAAAGAATGCTTCCCTCCCGTAGCCGCACCATACATAAAGACGGAAACATCTTACCTGGTAGAGCACCACTACCGGGCAGGTTGGCCGTAGGACAAACTGGTCATCCATTCCTCCGCCGTCGCTTAGCTATGGCTTCTGTTTTTGTTATTGTTTTGCTATTGGCTGTCATATCACTCTATATGAAGCATTCCACTTATGTCATTTCTGCAGAGGGAGGTGCGGTGCCCGCAATTGGAAGTAGACAATATAGCCGGGGCGCGGAAGGCAAGCCCTGCCTAGCATTTTGCGCCTCCTTGCTTGAGGAGGAGAGGCTTGACCAATAGATTGTGCGAAGTGAGCGGGAATATTCCATTCGTTTTGGGAAACCATGGGTTCCTGCCTCGCAGCACTTCATGGAGAGCATTCAAGCCTCTAGTAATCGCAAGGTAGGAAGGCACGTGAAGCACAACGGATAGCGACGTTAAATATCTATTCTCGCCCTGAATGTTGTACTCCTCGAGAACGGGAATCGAAACATCCCACAGGATAGGGATACGGAGCGTCCGGGTCGTATGATATCATATAGAGCAAGAGAAAAGTAAATAAATGGCAAAGGGCATAAGCACCTTATCCCTTATCGCCAGAAAGAACTAAGAGGGGCCAGAAAAAAGAGAAATAAAGTAGTAAAATCGGGTGCACAACAGATCACTCGCCCCCATCTCGCCCGGAAAAGCAGCAGATCAATAGACGTTAGAGGTAATAATAGTAAACGGACAGGGTGTATTTAATACAAGGGAAGAATATATGAGATGCCCTAATCATGAAAAGCCCTATTGCTCCCATGATCCGACTCGCGCGGAGCGTACCTCGATCTGGAATTATGAGACCTATAATAGTCTCCTCCACCCCCAGCACCCCGGTACCTACCGCCACCACTATTACCCCTTGTTCTGTATCCGGGAACATAGTTTCTGCCTTGGTAGCCACCCCTGTAATGCCCAGTGCTCACACCACTATGAGCCCCACGAGGCGGCGGCCGGCTGTCCCTTGGAGCTCGGGGACTGTTGGTCTCCTGATCGTATCGACTACGCTTGGCCTCGGATGAGCCCTGGGACCCCTCAAACCCCCTCTTAAGTGGAGTAACTGGCGCAGAGTGTGGATGGTCCTTGACGCTACCGTCCACAGGGGGTATACTATTGTGATCCCCCAGCAAGCGGTCATCACCATCCCTGCGCCCAAGTTCCAGTAAAGGGGTCAGATGGCTTATCCGATTCTGGAAAGAACCAACTGCCGTTCCGACAACCACAACCCCAGCCTCCCCGGGGACCCTCAGGAGCTCCGACAACATCTCCAAGACGGGCTTGATCGATCCTAGCGCATCAAGGGCAGTAATTGCTTTGCCGACGGCCTCATTAAGTCGAGCGGATGCAAGACCAAGATATCTCGTTAATTCCTCCTCAGCCCGGGGGTAGTCAGGAAAGACTTCCGACCTGAGTTGAGGGTACGACCTTGCAACCCATTTCAGGGACCCCCTTTCGATATTGGTTGAAGAAAAGAGCGAGCCGAAAAAGTCCTCGGGATGATATCTGACCAGATAAAGTGCTGTCCGGTGGGCCTGGGAGTCTGATGTGGTCAGAGCCGAAAGGCTTCCGGCAACGGTGCTTATCAAAGCGTCGAATGACCCCGAAGTGGCTTTCGAGATTATCAAGTGCGCATTGCCAATTATTAAGTTGTGGATCTATCGGGCGCGCGTTAGAGGAGAAAAGGGAAAAAAGAAAAAGGCCAATGGAGGGAGGAGGATGACTTCAGAGTTCGTTGTAGGATCATTGAGAAGGTGAGAAATCCTATTAGCTGACCATGTGGTTCCGAATTGTGAGAATAACTCAAATAGATAAGACAAGGCCTTTTTCCTGGTGGACTGAGGATGCTGTTGATCGCAAGCGGTTTCGCAAATATTTGTGAATGCTTCCTGCCGCTGACCCGTTGGCCAGAAATTATCAAATCGAGTCAGCCCTCTTTGTCCATCGCTCTCTTTTTCTTGTGTTCGATTGTATTGATATCATTGATCAATCCAATTTTGACAGCAACTCCTCATATTCGTTGTAGTCAACGCTTGCATCAGCGGATTAAGAATTTCTTATTCACCTCAGAGCTAGCGGTCGATAACCTCGAGTTTCTAGCGGAATGATAATCTGCCTGAAGAGTTTCCTCGACGGCGGTACCGCTGCCTGCCGAAAAGCGTGGAATATCGGGCGAATAGCTAACAGTGTCTTCCTCTGACATCCTTCTGTCCCGTTCCCTATCCCTCTCGGTACTTCTTCTTCTTCCTCGATGTTGATTGTGCCGGGGATAGCGTCCGCCAGAGTGACGAGGGGGCGAATAGTGTTGAGCAGAACCAGGCATTATAACGCGTACGAGATTTTATTTCGGAAAGTTAGGGGAACCTCAAAACAGTATTATACTTTTTTTTTGCCTTATTAGCTTTTTCCTCTTTGTTTCGAAGTGAAGTGGTTGAAAATGTAAAGACCAGTGATAGAATAAGGATAATAAGGATTAATTCCTCTCTTTTCTTTCTTTTTTTCCGCCTTGTTTCCTTTCTTTGTGTCTGTTCCCGATGATCTGGCGGTGGACGCGGCTAACCAAAGAATTGGGGGGAAATCAAGTCTGGGAAGGGGAAAGCAGGGGAAAGCAGGGGGATAAAGCAAGAATGAGGGGTAATGGAAAGCTTACGGCGAATAACCGCCCAATTGCAAACAGCGATGGTAGAGGAAAGGAACGATGGGCGGCGTGTGGGATGAAAGACGATGGAGAGTTGAAGAGAAGCAGAGGAGAGAGTTGAGAGGAGGGATGTTTGACCAATCGCAGCATTGAACTGGTGCAGAAGAAAAAACCCTGTCGTCATGCGCCCTGCCAAGACAGCACAGGACAAGACACTTTCTGATGTCTCGCCTGGCAGCCGTTGCACAGAGGGTTGTCGGTAGGCCAGAAGGCAAAGAAGCTTCCCTGCAAACCCAAGCTGTAGCTTCGAGAAACGTGTCTACAGTGCCCTTATTCTGCATAATATTATCGTGCTGTGCCGACGATCCCCTCTCCATCTCCCCCTGCAGAGGTCGAGCAAACACCTTCCTCGACATTCCCCCTTCCTGAACCCATTGATCGGTACCCCCTTCTCCCCTCTCCCACTCTATAGCCATCTTCATGATGGCTAGACTCCCCCTATCTCTGTTAGCAGTCTGCTCCGCTCTTTTGACGCCAGCAGCCACTGCAACAAACACGGAAAATGGGCAATGGGTCCTTGTGAATGAGATCTCAAGGGTCTCGAATCAGAGTTTGATGTGGGGCCCCTATCGACCGAATCTTTACTTTGGAGTTAAGCCAAGGATACCGAAGAGCATGATTGCTGGCTTGATGTGGGGCAGGGTTGATGATTTTGCATCGGTTGCCCAGAGTACGTCATTTTCCCAGTGTTTATAAAACTTTGTCGCTTAATCTGATCACGAGATAGCCGTGCGGCATACATGCGAGCAGAGCGACGATATGGCGGGTTACGGATGGGATGAATATGATGTGAGAACCGGGGGGCACCAGGTCATAGGGGACCCCAGGAATTCAATCGATATACACACAGATTTTGTCAAAGTTGAGGGAGGAGAAAATGGTGAGATTGGTCCGATCCAGGCAGCGTGCTAGGCTTAATAATAATTCTCTGAAACGTTAGGGGGCCATTGGGGCGTTCGTGTCAAGGGGATACCTAGGACTGGAGGTAGGTATGAGAGATAGGTCCCGGAATTCTTAGAGCGAAAACTTATTGTCTATGCAGCCCCAGCAGATTTGAAAACCATGGCGGTTTTTTATGTCGGTCTCGAGGGACTGGGAAGCCTCAGCTTGCAAAACGAACCCGACGAAAGAGGATTGGTTGGCGATGTTACACTCGAAGGTTCAATACCAAAACTAGCCGAGTTCAAGATAGATATCACTACAGGGCCGAGCACCAACAAACCCCCGCGAGTCGGGCATGAGAAATATTGGAACGAGAAGCCTTTGGATCGAACCTCATACCATTCACTGAAGGTTCCTGAGGAGGACGTCTGGAAGGCAAAAGGTAAGCACTATATATATACCGGGAAGTAGAAGACGAAACTAATTGTTAGCGAAACCAAGATATATTCTTTACGGGCCTGCGTGACAACTTTCTTAAGGTCAAGGAGAAATATGGAGAATCAGATCTCCCACCTCCGTGGCAAGCCTTTACCATTCCGAACACTTTCGGTCCAGGGAATTTCCACATGGTTCAAAAGGTTTTTGAGGGTGGGTTTGAGGTAATATATGCGGGTCCTTGGCATAAAAGGTCGTTACTATTATCATAGGACTAACCCGACCTTAGTTTGACATTCTCTACTCTTCGGCCTCAGCGCCTACAGCTATGACTTGTACTGTCCCAACAAGGTCTCCCGGAATGATTAGTACTGACAGCTGCCCCAGCCGATATCCTCACCGAAAAGATCCGAACCATAGGCAGCTCATTTGCTGATCGTTTCGAAAACTCCTTTCCCAGAGAATCTCCTTTCAATGCCCCCCGCTATCGGCAATTTGCCCGCAATTTTTTCTCGAATCTACTTGGTGGCATTGGTCATTTCCACGGTACCTCCGTTGTCGATCGCACATATGCCCCCGAATACGAAGAAGAAGATGAAGGTTTTTGGGAAGAGGCCAAAGCTGCCCAGGCACGTCCAGACGCTGCAGAGTTGGAAGGACCAACCGAATTGTTTACGAGTATTCCGTCAAGGCCATTCTTTCCCAGGGGTTTTTTGTGGGATGAGGGGTTCCATCTGTTGCCAATCAGTGACTGGGACATGGACTTAACCCTTCAAATTGTGAAAAGTTGGATATCCCTTGTTGATGAGGATGGATGGCTCCCGAGGGAACAAATTTTGGGGGACGAGGCCCGCAGCAAGGTTCCCCAGGAGTTTCAGACTCAATATCCCCACTATGCTAACCCCCCAACGTTATTTTTTGTCTTGACCAAGTTTATCGATCAATTGGAGGGGTTTCAGTCAAAGAGGGGCGACTCGAGTATGCCCCCTCTTCCCAACAAACCCTCTCAGGTGCTAACTATGATCATTAGTGAGCGAATACCTTGACAAGGAATCATTCAGCAACATGTTCTCCTCCGATGACCTTCCAGCTGTTCACCTCAAGAACCCTGAAGTGGCTTCAGAATACCTACGATCGATATATCCTAACCTTCGGCGAAATTACTTTTGGTACCGTAAGAGCCAATCCGGTGAGATCCGCGGCTGGGATCGCAATGCATACTCCAAAAAAGAAGGATATCGCTGGCGCGGACGCACTCCCGAGCATTGTTTGACATCTGGCCTCGATGATTACCCACGAGCCCGTCCCCCACACACCGGGGAACTTCATGTTGATCTTCTCTCTTGGATCGGGATGATGACGAGCTGTATCAAGCGCATCGCAGCCGCAATTGGGGAGCACGATGACGTAGCAGAATTTGAGCAGTACGAATACGCCATCAAGAAAAACATTGACGACTTGCATTGGAGCGAGAAGCACAAAACCTATTGTGATGCCACAATTGACGATTTTGAGGAGAGCGTACATGTTTGTCATAAGGGTTATATCTCCATATTTCCTTTCCTACTCGGGCTCATGGAGAAAGACTCCGAAAGGCTTGGAAAGGTTTTAGATCTCATAGCTGACCCGGAAGAACTCTGGAGTAATCATGGCTTGAGAAGTTTGAGCAAGAAGGACGAATACTATGGAACGGGCGAGAACTATTGGAGAGGCCCCATCTGGATTAACATTAACTATCTAGCCATCCAAAGACTTATGGTACGTTTTCTCGCCAATATACCAGAATCAATATCTAACCCCTGCTTGCGTTAGGAATATGGATCTAAGGAGGGCCCTTATCAAAAGCAAGCGGCAGATCTCTACAAGGAGCTCCGGGTCAACGTCGTTGAAAACGTTTATAAAAATTGGGAGGCCACCGGCTACGCATGGGAGCAGTATGATGCGGAAACCGGTAAAGGTCAGAGAACAGCTCACTTTCTCGGGTGGACATCACTGGTTGTCAAGATTATGAACATGCCGGAGACAGTGAGCGTCGTAGCTACTCCCTTTAAGGACGAGCTATAGAGTCTTGTTTGGATGAGATACGCCACTATTGGCACAGCGGCTGTAGAATTTTTATGAGCTACTCATATATTGAATGTATACCCTGATGTTAGAGGTTAAACCAATAGTAGGAAGAAATAAGATTGAAGCTTCATACTGTGACCCATGAAAACTGCGTTATTTTACAACCCGGCCACCGATAACAAGGCATACTTCCGAGCTTTGGGCATGAAGCACACACATCCAAACACCCATAAGCAGAACTAAATCATTCCGCCCTCATCTCCCATATTTAAATCTGGCCCTGAAAACCCGAATAGGAGATTGCAAAGCCGAGTGAGATAATATGACTACACAATACGCGGGAGACCTCTCCAATTCTGCATTCCAATGCTACACAGTATTGCGATTCCTACACGCCGTGACACGCCGTGACCGGAGGACCCACGAGCCTGTATACTTGTTGGAGCTTGTATTTGCCACGCCCAGCCGAATATCTCTAATTAGGATCTTCATTCACAGATTTATTGATCAGGTTCCTAGTGATTGAAAATGTGGTACCATGGGAATTTCATGAGACTGTCGCAGCGCAACAAAGCACCATTCCCTATTTAGGATCGTAGAGTCTCTCGGTGAAGAAATGCAGTAGACTGTGAAGATCCACACTAACCCTTCCACCGCTTGGGCAGCGAAAAACTCCTCTCCCAAATCCAAAACCCCACCCGCTAGCAGTACAAGGATCCATTCCCACGGTATATACTAAGGGGAATGTCCAGCTGGAGGAGTGGCAAGGGTATCAAGAACCAAGTAACCCCTGTTCACAATGAGCTGTTGCCAACTGTTCCATCGTGTGGGATAGGAAGAGCAAATCCAACCCTCTATGAACCCGGATATTTATGACCTTGGCTTTCCCCAATAAGGCTGCAGGGTGGACCAGTACCGCTACGAGGTGGCAGAATCCTACCCCGGACCATGCAAGAGATATCATAGCATAGACTCTCTAATAGGGAAATGGCTGAATTGGCCTGCAAGGGTGGCCATCCGCCACCAACCCCACCCATTTTCTATCCTTACCTTGAAGGCCTACTCCACCTCCCCACCTCCCAGAAGGAAAGGCCAGGGTCCATGCACTGTACAAACTGATGGCATAATCCCAACAGCAGGATGTGGGGGAGCAGGTGTGATGCAGATAGTGAGATATGTGAGGAAACGAATATGTGGATGTCAGGGCAGAGAGCGTGAGACCTTTTACTCGGTTGGGTGACTGTTTTGTTTGCTGCTTGTTGTTTGTTGCTGAGAAGGCCAACCCTCTCTCTATGATTGCTACCTTCTCTCTTTGTATTTTAGTTTCTCTTTCCACGCTTCTGGTGGAAGACACGAACGACTCCTCTCACTTCACTCTCAGTTCCGTTCACGCTGTGATTTCGCACCTCCGCTCCTCCCTGGCCCGCTATCACAAACTCCATCACAAGAAATCACTCAAATCACAGCGTTAGCTAAACGCCGTAATGTACTGGCACAGCAAACTTGAAGGCCAAACACGATTCTCAGAGCAAAGTAGTGACAAATGAGAAATATTCTAACGCTTAGGCCACCAAGTGTACGAATTTAGGTTACTGTCTTAGTCTGTCCACCCCGAATCAACAACCCCCAAAACCTGTCCCAGCATACAGGCAAAGAAGCCAAACCATTTTCGCAACTGGTTCTGCTGTTTCAACTACCTATCTGCGAATAGCCATGAGGGCATTTTAGCTCTGGTAAACGGCGGCCACTATCTATTGATCCGTTTCTCGAAGATAACCTATCCCTTATGGGCCCTTCTCACTCACACCTGAATAGCTAATGCTCACCTTATACTTGCCAGCTCTCTGTGTGTGTAACGGCGTCTTCGTCAGTTCATATCTTAGTGATACGACAACCCTACGAGCTCTACGGCTAAAGCTGGATCCTTCTCATCATCCTACTAAGCCGGAGCAATTCCTAGGACCTGTGGCTAAAGCTAGCAAATTAAACTTTAGGTTACCGCGTGTTTCTTGGTGTTTTTATAGCGTTTAAGCTTACATGGAAATCAAGTAAAGTTAGTACTTTCATTTCACCATCGATAGACCATATTGAAGCAATATATGGCTATCTCCCCCGAACCGGCCCCCATTTAATGTCTGTGACCTCATCCCCACCAGCACATCCAACTTCAGAAACAAAAGTGCCCATTAATAACCTAGATCGTATATGTATCGAGTTTAGAGTACATTTCTCCAGAAATCCAGACACCGCCTAAACAGGGAACCAACAACCAAGTCCTCCAAATCACTATGGTCTGTTATGTCGTAAATGTGCGCTCTTGCATGTCTAATATAACTGATGATCCGAATTGTTGGGAGATTATTACGCCTATAGGTTGCAGGATTAGGTAGGCTTGTGAGAAACAGAAGGGAAGCTAGAATGTACAGATAGGGTACATGTTTAAACTAATTGGATACAATAAAGGTTGAGGAGCTAGGACTTAGAAGGGATATATCTATATATCGTAGGCATGTATTTCTCAGTGAGCTAACGCACACCAATACAACCCCACCCTCAACTCCTTCTTCCACCAAGATTTCGCTTTTGTTTCCCCGCCACGGTCAGCATTGTTGGACGGATATGGTGGTGAGCTGGATGAAACATCGTTGTTTCTCACAGGTGTAAGTGAGCTGTCTAAATACAGGAGTAAACACAATGTGCGAACACAATCTCCCCTGACCCTTAGGTCCACAAACCCTCAACATCACTATCCTCCATCTTCACAATACCATCGGGGTTGACGCCCGTACATACACAACAACAAAAACAACACACAACAAGCATTCCAGTGCCATCACATATCCTTTCGCTCCACATGTCAGGATAGAAGCGTCATTTCCAGCTCTGAAGAAAGGAAGAGGGTAAGACAAGAACAAGATACAGTAGTAGTTGCTCTGCTACTCTTAAAGGTCCTGGATGGGGATCGATGTCTGGTGTCCAAAGGTTTTCATGTAGCAATAAGGGATCAAGGATAGAGGAAGGAATGGTAGCAAGTAATAACCCGATGACAATAATTCTGACAACAAGATGGGGAGTAGTCTGGGGTAGAGATGGAGCAGGTATTTGTAGAAATTTCGTGTAATAGCCCCTCTGAGTTCGGCATTCACATACCTCCTGAGGCACGCACCTCTACCGGGAAACGCTAGATAGGAATCAAGCAAGAATGGGCTAGAACAGGAACAATGGCCACGATAGAGCCCATAGGTATAACACTAACCGGGGCCTCGGCTTGAAAGGAAATAAAAACCGGAACGAACCATCGAAAGACCAAAGAAGTCCTCCTATCAAGATCCCGGGGCCACAAGGACGAGTGATATTAAGTGATATCCGACTCTCAAGGGCCCCATTACTTAGTTAGAGAATTCAATTGCAACCGCGTGAATACACCTACATTTAGAATACATAGCCCTACTGCAAGGAAGCCTTGCGCCTAAAATCAGAGCGCAGTACTTGCCCGTAGTCACCATTTCAAGGTGACGTGTGCATCCTAATTCAAGGGACGCCATGTTTGTCTCTCCTTCTTCAACCCCCCTCCGCACACCAGCTATTGTCCAGTAAACCATCACCAGCAGTTTCCCCCTCATTTCTAGCTACCTCGCATTCGATTGGATCCTATCCCCAGTCTCCCTGCTCCTCTTGCTAATCTACTTTACAGGACACCCCATAGTTCTTTATCTTATCACCAGACTCCATTACGAGAGACGAAACTCGGATTTTCCCACCCGACTCCAGCACCCACGGTCCCGCAGTTCGAGGCAGTATCAGGAATCGGCTTTTAAAGGGCGATGGGATCTGGAAAAATACCCGGAAGCTTGCCCTCTAATTGTATTCCTCTCTAACTTATCGCGTAAGTGGGTGATCCGGGACGATTATTCCAGGCCCAGAACATTAACCCTCACGTTTCCTACGGATCTTGTGTCGATCATTTGGGGCTTCGCTTAGGGACCTGTTTTACGAGCCCATGGCCTGAATACTGGACCACTGGCAACCGATCACTTGTCCTAGGCCACACTCTGAGACTATCAGTTATTGCGGCTTTAAAAAATTCTTGGCAATCTGGGCGAAGTTGGAACAAAGATTCCTCCTCTCTTAGACATATATCGGGCCACGTTTTGACCCGATCTGTATTGAAGATCTCTAGATTCGTGCTTTTTTCCCTCCACAAGCTGTTGGTTTCCAGGATCTAGAATCGTCTCTCGGGCGGAGAATTTCCCAATGGTAACAACTTTTTTATGTGGCCATCTGTCTAATGCACGAGGGGATGGTATTTCCCTCAGCCCCGTGCAGAATGTCAAGACCCTTTCACGCTACAACAACCTACCCACTTCTCCAAGACCTAGGAGACCGAGGAGACTAAGTGGAACCAATTGAGCCTAAACTAGAGCCGGGAGACAAGATGAAACACCTAAATCCAGACATACAGAACCTGCCGTCCATTAGATAACTGTCTCCCGGCATACAAAGTGTACTTTCGCATAACCTCGCATGGTCAGAATCTGATACGTTACAATTCCTCCTTTCACCTAATCAATTTTGAGCTTACACGAAACATTAAAGCTGGAGGAAATTCAAGCCACAATGCCCTCACAGCACGCCTTGCCCCCTTCTCTTTCCACCCATCATCGGAGGCCCAACTTTGTCTAAGACAATACTTCCCCCGAGCCTTCCCGTCTACAAGACACAAGCCGGCAACCAGGGTCTCCTGCTGTTTCATCACACATTGTCACTCGGCCGTAAATACTAGGCATAGCTTTTTCAGCCCAAGGCTACAATCGCTACTTAGATATAGCCAATGGTGTGCCCTGCGAGTGCATAGCCATAGAACAATCGACGATTATTCTCGCCCCATATCGGGCTACTCCAATCAACTTTGTTCCCCGTTCCCCACACCGACCCCACCATCATAACCCTTTAACTATGCATGCAGCATATGAGACGCAATGCTCGGTACATATCCCTCTGCACATTTTGACCTCCCATTAGCACATTATTTCCCCCACCCAACCCCTCATCGCCGGAGCATCCATCTCCCAACCCAATAAATGCCCTAGGACCTTTACTTATCAGGAATTTACCCCAGGAAAAACGAT